CTGTGGAGAGTAAGGACAAATTCAGTGACCTGACCAAAACCACACCTTTCCCAGCACATCTCGCTCACCTCAAGAGTGCTTGTGGGCCTTAGACTCATTCACCACAGTGAGTCACACACTGACTCGCCTTCCTCACATTCTTCTATACCCTGGACACTAAAACTTGTGCAACTGATAGCAGTGAACTAGCAGCAGCACTGGGTGTTAGCAGCAGCACTGGGTGTTAGCACTGCTAACACCCAGGTCACCCACTAGGGTGACCTGGGTGTTAGCAGTGAACTAGCAGCAGCAGTGAGATCAGCAGGAGCACCCACTAGGGTGACCTGGGTGTTAGCAGTGAACTAGCAGCAGGAGCACCCACTAGGGTGACCTGGGTGTTAGCAGTGAACTAGCAGGAACAGTGATAACAGAGCCCATACAATCATGTAGTGACAATTCTAGGGGAAGGAGGGAGATTCTGCTCGTTCTACTCTCTCCCTTTTAAGACTTCGTTCCTTCTACTCTTCCTATTCCTGCAGTTAACCACTTATAAATTACTCTCTCCAACCTAGCACTCCCTTTCTCCCTTCATTCCCCCTTTCCCTGGCCACTGCCACTCTTTCCTGGCCAACCTCTCTTCCCTTTGGCCAATTTCCCCACGGTGACAGTCCCCTTGGTGCCTCCCTTAGTCCCCAGGGGGTCTAGCTAGGGTTATTGGCTAAACTTTTGCAGGGCAGCCGCGTAAAAGTGGCCTGGGGAGACCTGGGAATACTTTGTACCAGCTCGATCCTTCTGTGTGGAGGTTGTTCCATCCTTCTATGTGGAGGTTGTTCCATCCTTCTATGTGGAGGTTGTTCCATCCTTCTGTGTGGAGGTTCCATCCTTCTGTGTGGAGGTTGTTCCATCCTTTATGTGGAGTTGTTCCGTCCTTCTATGTGGAGGTTGTTCCATCCTTCTGTGTGGGGGTTGTTCCATCATTCTGTGTAGAGGTTGTTCCATCCTTCTATGTGGAGTTGCTCCGTCCTTCTGTGTGGAGGTTGTTCCATCCTTCTGTGTGGGGGTTGTTCCATCTTATGTGGAGGGTGTTCCATCCCTCTTATGTGGATAGGCTGGGATAGAGAAAGGTAAGAGGGTGAGAGAGAGAAAGAGAGAGAGGAGATACACCTGCTTGTGAGATAACGTACTTACGTCCCGCCTTAAAACTAATTAAATAACGCGAACACATGTGAGTATTGACCTAGACGTGTGTCACTGGTGATGACCTCTCACCTGTGATGGCCCCCTCACTTGTGATGACTCTCACCTGTGATGACCCCCTCACTTGTGATGACTCTCACCTGTGATGACCCCCTCACTTATGATGACTCTCACCTGTGATGACCCCCTCACTTGTGATGGCTCTCACCTGTGATGACCCCCTCACTTATGATGACTCTCACCTGTGATGACCCCCTCACTTGTGATGGCTCTCACCTGTGATGACCCCCTCACTTGTGATGACTGTCACCTGTGATGACCCCCTCACTTGTGATGACTGTCACCTGTGATGACCCTTGACCTGTGTTGTCGTGGGTTGAGAGGACAAAGACGCAGTGGTACTTATTATCGCAATGGGATACATCATCAGTGAGATGCTGCTCTATTCTATGTGATAGTTACACAGTGGGAACAAAAGCTAGCTTTGTACCCTGTCATAAAGCTAGCCATGTACCTTGTCATAAAGCTAGCTATGTACCTTGTCATAAAGCTAGCTATGTACCTTGTCATAAAGCTAGCTGTGTACCCTGTCATAAAGCTAGCTATGTACCCTGTCATAAGGCTAGCTATGTACCCTGTCATAAAGCTAGCTATGTACCCTGTCATAAAGCTAGCCATGTACCTTGTCATAAAGCTAGCTATGTACCTTGTCATAAAGCTAGCTATGTACCTTGTCATAAAGCTAGCTATGTACCCTGTCATAAAGCTAGCTATGTACCCTGTCATAAAGCTAGCTATGTACCCTGTCATAAAGCTAGCTATGTACCCTGTCATAAAGCTAGCTATGTACCCTGTCATAAAGCTAGCTATGTACCCTGCCATAAAGTTAGCTATGCACCCTATCATAAAGCTAGCTATGTACCCTGTCATCAAGTTAGCTATGTACCCTATCATAAAGCTAGCTATGTTCCCTGTCATAAAGCTAGCTATGTACTCTGTCATCAAGTTAGCTATGTACCCTGTCATAAAGCTAGCTATGTTCCCTGTCATAAAGCTAGCTATATACCCTGTCATCAAGTTAGCTATATACCCTATCATAAAACTAGCTATGTTCCCTGTCATAAAGCTAGCTATGTACCCTGTCATAAAGTTAGCTATGCACCATATCATAAATCTAGCTATGTGCCCTGTCATAAAGCTAGCTATGTTCCCTGTCATAAAGCTAGCTATGTACCCTGTCATAAAGCTAGCTATGTACCCTGTCATAAAGCTAGCTATGTTCCCTGTCATAAAACTAGCTATGTATCCTGTCATAAAGCTAGCTATGTTCTCTATCATAAAGCTAGCTATGTACCCTGTCATAAAGCTAGCTATGTGCCCTGTCATAAAACTAGCTATGTATCCTGTCATAAAGCTAGCTATGTTCTCTATCATAAAGCTAGCTATGTACCTTGTCATAAAGCTAGCCATGTTCCCTGCCATGAAGCTAGTTATGTTCCCTATCATAAAGCTAGTTATGTTCCCTATCATAAAGCTAGCTATGTTCTGTCATGTTCCATCACACAGGATGGGTCACATATGAAGTGTTGCAATAGTGTCAGCCTGAGCTGGGAGACTTCAGTAGTGTCAGTCTGAGCTGGGAGACTTCAGTAGTGTCAACCTGAGCTGGGAGACTTCAGTAGTGTCAACCTGAGCTGGGAGACTTCAGTAGTGTCAGTCTGAGCTGGGAGACTTCAGTAGTGTCAACCTGAGCTGGGAGACTTCAGTAGTGTCAACCTGAGCTGGGAGACTTCAGTAGTGTCAGCCTGAGCTGGGAGACTTCAGTAGTGTCAACCTGAGCTGGGAGACTTCAGTAGTATCAACCTGAGCTGGGAGACTTCAGTAGTATCAACCTGAGCTGGGAGACTTCAGTAGTGTCAACCTGAGCTGGGAGACTTCAGTAGTGTCAACCTGAGCTGGGAGACTTCAGTAGTATCAACCTGAGCTGGGAGACTTCAGTAGTGTCAACCTGAGCTGGGAGACTTCAGTAGTGTCAACCTGAGCTGGGAGACTTCAGTAGTGTCAACCTGAGCTGGGAGACTTCAGTAGTATCAACCTGAGCTGGGAGACTTCAGTAGTGTCAACCTGAGCTGGGAGACTTCAGTAGTATCAACCTGAGCTGGGAGACTTCAACCTGAGCTGGGAGACTTCAGTAGTATCAACCTGAGCTGGGAGAGTTCAGTAGTATCAACCTGAGCTGGGAGACTTCAACCTGAGCTGGGAGACTTCAGTAGTATCAACCTGAGCTGGGAGACTTCAGTAGTGTCAACCTGAGCTGGGAGACTTCAGTAGTATCAACCCGAGCTGGGAGACTTCAGTAGTGTCAACCTGAGCTGGGAGACTTCAGTAGTGTCAACCTGAGCTGGGAGACTTCAGTAGTATCAACCTGAGCTGGGAGACTTCAGTAGTATCAACCTGAGCTGGGAGACTTCAGTAGTGTCAACTTGAGCTGAGAGACTTCAGTAGTGTCAACCTGAGCTGGGAGACTTCAGTAGTGTCAGTCTGAGCTGGGAGACTTCAGTAGTGTCAACCTGAGCTGGGAGACTTCAGTAGTGTCAACCTGAGCTGGGAGACTTCAGTAGTATCAACCTGAGCTGGGAGACTTCAGTAGTGTCAACTTGAGCTGGGAGACTTCAGTAGTGTCAGTCTGAGCTGGGAGACTTCAGTAGTGTCAGTCTGAGCTGGGAGACTTCAGTAGTGTCAACCTGAGCTGGGAGACTTCAGTAGTGTCAACCTGAGCTGGGAGACTTCAGTAGTGTCAACTTGAGCTGGGAGACTTCAGTAGTGTCAGTCTGAGCTGGGAGACTTCAGTAGTGTCAACCTGAGCTGGGAGACTTCAGTAGTATCAACCTGAGCTGGGAGACTTCAGTAGTGTCAACTTGAGCTGGGAGACTTCAGTAGTGTCAGTCTGAGCTGGGAGACTTCAGTAGTGTCAACCTGAGCTGGGAGACTTCAGTAGTGTCAACCTGAGCTGGGAGACTTTAGTAGTGTCAACCTGAGCTGGGAGACTTCAGTAGTGTCAACCTGAGCTGGGAGACTTCAGTAGTGTCAACCTGAGCTGGGAGACTTCAGTAGTGTCAACCTGAGCTGGGAGACTTCAGTAGTGTCAACCTGAGCTGGGAGACTTCAGTAGTGTCAACCTGAGCTGGGAGACTTCAGTAGTGTCAACCTGAGCTGGGAGACTTCAGTAGTATCAACCTGAGCTGGGAGACTTCAGTAGTGTCAACCTGAGCTGGGAGACTTCAGTAGTGTCAACCTGAGCTGGGAGACTTTAGTAGTGTCAACCTGAGCTGGGAGACTTCAGTAGTGTCAACCTGAGCTGGGAGACTTCAGTAGTGTCAACCTGAGCTGGGAGACTTCAGTAGTATCAACCTGAGCTGGGAGACTTCAGTAGTGTCAACCTGAGCTGGGAGACTTCAGTAGTGTCAACCTGAGCTGGGAGACTTAATAGTGTCAACCTGAGCTGGGAGACTTCAGTAGTGTCAACCTGAGCTGGGAGACTTCAGTAGTGTCAACCTGAGCTGGGAGACTTCAGTAGTGTCAACCTGAGCTGGGAGACTTTAGTAGTGTCAACCTGAGCTGGGTGACTTCAGTAGTGTCAACTTGAGCTGGGAGACTTCAGTAGTGTCAACCTGAGCTGGGAGACTTCAGTAGTGTCAACCTGAGCTGGGAGACTTCAGTAGTGTCAACTTGAGCTGGGAGACTTCAGTAGTGTCAACCTGAGCTGGGAGACTTCAGTAGTGTCAACCTGAGCTGGGAGACTTCAGTAGTGTCAACTTGAGCTG